TTGCTTTTGTTTATTTGAGGCATTTCGATATTCGCGCGCTTTGTGCGCCATGGAGAGAACTCCATATGAGAATTAAGAACGGTTCTCATTGAGCTGAAACTATGCCAAGTTATTAATGAAATATTATACATATATTGTCTTATAGGTATACATTAATTTAATAGTTTGTATTACAACAGATCCGCAAGAATTTAAAGCTCTTGAAGAATTCATTGCATTTGTTATTTATATTTATGCGAATTCTAACAAATCGAATCGGAATCCAGCTTCAGAAATGTATTCTTTTCCACAGTGTTTGATCGAATGTCTTAGATAAACTCACTGATTGACTCACTGAATGATTAAGTGAATAACTAACTAACGATGGCATTTAGCAAATGCATTAAAATTACTGAATATATAGGCAACGATATTTAGTTGTTTGCTAAATAAGTTGATTGATTGACTGAATAGTTGACTAAGGATGATTGATTGATTGACTGAATGTAAAGCTGCACAATGCTGAACCAAATGTAGTTTATAAAGTATATAAATGTGATTTTTGATTTTCTAATTGATTGACTAATGCCTGATTTATTGATGAGCTTACAGCAATATCGTTGTTCTAAAAGGACTCTGCTCCAATTGCCACAGTTAGTATATAGCAAGGCAGTCAGTGTGACTGATTGATTAACTGAAAAACTAACTGATTGCAATTGGAATTTCCAATTAACTGTAAATCTTCCAACTGGCGAATCAATTAAAATCGAATTTAGAAAAAAAACCGTATAAATAAATAAAATAAAAAATAAAAAATAAATAAATTCTAGAAAATTAAAAAAAAAAAAACTCGTTTGTTTCCTGTAGCCGTAAAGGGGTCTATATTAGTTTTGTTTTTGTGCGATTCAAGCTCTGAAGTGATTGACATGTTTATTTCATGCAATCATTGTGTGTTAGCGTGCCTCTAACTTATTACACTCCACTAACGTATTTGATTTAGTAATTTGAAGGATGGGACAGACGAAAAACTTAAAACACAAAAACACAAAAAACAAAAAACAAAAATTGTAAACGAAACACTCAGCAAATATGTTAAATGTGCGACTCGGCCAGCCGTGTAAGTTGTCAATTGGCAGCTGTTATTGTTGCTGTTGCTGTGGCTGTGGCTGTGGCTGCGGCTCTTGGCTTAAACCAGTTGGTGAGCAATGGCGGCGCACGTTGCGTATGATTTATGTGTGAGTATCTCGGCTTGTCATCTGGTTAAGGCCAACTGTTGCTACAATTCTTAACTGCTTATAAAGTGTTGTGTACTTGTCGGTATTTCAAATGGAGCGAGAGAGAGGGAAGCAGTGAGAGTCAGACAGAATGAGAGAGAAGAGGTTTCTGCTTATCAGTTGCATATGCTTTGGCCTTATCACAACATGTGTGCCTGTGTGTGTCTGTGTGTGTGTGTGTGTTGCTCTTATCAATGAGTGTTGACCGCGATTTTCGTTGCTTTTTGCTTTGTGTCTTAAATTGAGTTTAGTTTGTATTCAATAATTACTGATAGCGGCATAATCCATCTCTATATATTCATTGATTTCTATGACATTCTTACAATATTACGTATACGCACGGGTGTCTATATATATAAAGGTGTATTTCTGCGGAATTTTTCAAATATTACGTGTACGGATAGACACACATACATAGATAAATGCATAAAGATAACAACGTGCGCTAAATATAGAGATACGAGGGTTTATTATTATTATTATTATAGCCATGATTCATGCTGGATACGGGCAGGTTAAACAGGCACTACACAGCAGATATTAGAGTTATAGCAGTGGTAGTAGTAGTAGCATTACAGTTATTCCCTTCGGGCAGTGCCAGAAGTGAGCTACACGCAAGGACTTACCTCCTTTGTAGGCACGTGCGCACAAAGCGTTCTCCACATTGATAAACATATTGCTTAATTTCGCATGAAATTTATCAAACAGCTGCAGGTCTGTATGCAGTGCATTTTGTGTGTGTGTGTGTGTGAGTGAATGTGTTTGCGTGTGTGTATATAAAGTATAATTAAATTTTACATTAAGTATGCAATGAATTTTGTTAAAAGCTTTGGCTGACCGCAAGGCATTTAAGCAAAGTATGCAATGCCCTTTGGTGGGCAGTTAGAAAAGTTGCAAATGCAAAAGCAAAATGCTCTTATAAAAGACATATACAACATATTCTTATTAAAATGAAAAATCCCTACAACTGATTGTGCTACAAAAAATTGTTTAATTAATTTAAACCGTCTTTTACTTAATGACACACGAAACAGAATTTATTTTCTGGTAAAATACTTTTACAGACCACTGTGAATTATTCCATTATTATCAGCTATGTGCTTTCTAATTTTTTCCACCATCATCCGGCTTTGTAATAATTAAAGCACAATCCGTTAAAATATACAATATTATCTGCATATAAGTTTATAAGTTAGCTTTATTATCTGAAATATTTTGCTGCATACTTTTAGGTGCTCAGTACTTCCAATCCGATCTATAGATTCGGCTGCCGCAGCTTTAATAACTAAATTGCACTGAAATTGTCTCTGAACGAGATATACGAGATATAAAATGGTTCGTTGCCCTGAATAATAATATAAATGCGCTATAAATGCGCACATGCAAAAGCTGTGCCTGCTCTCTGAACTGTTGAGTACAACAAGCAAGATATATATCGCATATATGACCTATATATATAGCATATGTATATACACAGCGAGCTGCTCATTTTTAATTTGCAGCAATTGAGGAAAATTTGCACTCGCGACAGATTGCATTTGCACTAATCAAATCTAAGCGAATCCCAGCGAAACCCATTTCGTATGCCATTCAGTTGAGTTGAGTTGAGTCTACTTACAGTTCTCGCTCTTGGACAATTGGCCGACTTTGATGTGATCGAGATTACCGCCGAGCATTTCCGCTACGATTTCCTCCACATATTCCCTAATCCTGCTGCGCTCATCCGCATTCATAGTCGAGTTCATGCCAACCTGACTGACGCTCTCGAACTCTGTAAAGAAGATTGAATTTAGCTATAAATTCTAGCCTTTTTTTTTGGGCTTTTTATGCTTACGCATCGAGCTGTCGGCGAGTTCTGAGCTGATGGGTATATAGATTTCGCTGCGTGCTCGCAATGGATAGACGAACTTTTGCTGATTGAAGGACATCTGCTCGGCCACCCAGGACGAAGTTTGCTCCAGCGACTGCTTCGAACTGTGGCACAATTCGCACACCCATTGCGCTGCCTTGGGCAGCCAATTGGCACACTTGATGCCGCGACACACCTGCTTGCCACACGTGCAACATGTGACATAGCTATAGAAGGGGAGAGAGCGAGAGAGACAACTTTAGACTAGCCCCACTTAGAGCTAATTTCCTACTCACTTTTTGGCACTGCTCAAATCCAATTCTGCACAGCAGACATTGCAGCTGGACTGCTCCTCGCTGGGAATCGACTTCTTCGGCTTCTTAGTGACTAATTTGCTAAAAAAAAGGAGAGAGAATTATAGATTACAATATAGATATGATTGCATTTTTTAAATACATTAAAATGTTAGCATAAAAAACAACAGTAATTTAATTCATTAGTAAATCTATTAAAACCTGTATTATATTTTAGAAAAATAAAATAAAATATTTATAAAATGAAAAATTAAAGCATTCAATAAAATACACTGTATATATGTATTTTTGTGTATATATTTTTTGAAACTTTTTATAATGTATAGTTTTACCTTTTATTTTATAAAAATTTAACAAAAGTTTCCTAATTTTTTTTCATATATATATAATGTTATTATCTATATTTTATTTTATGTTATTTATGTGTATAAATATATATATATCCTTCCATGTCCTATTGTTTTTACTTTTTCTACTTATATATTTTTAATTATTGGTAATAAAAATTCATTTAAAAAAACATATATTAATAATTATTTATATTTTGTTCATTTTATAACATTTTTAAATTTTATTTCACCCAAATTTAATATATATTTTCTGCAAACTTAAAAGTTTATAAGAAATCAGAAATTTATTAATTAGTAAATAATTAAAAATTTTTTATAAATATTAATAAATTCAACTAAATATAACATTAAATTTTTGACGAACTATCTTAAATAGTGAATCAACTTCAATCCATTTTTGGATTAATTTAGCCGTTTAATACAGTTTTAGCCTGTTTCCAAAGAACAAAAGAAATGGGCAACAAGTCTATAGATATATATTACGGACTCTACCAAAAACTTTTCTCTACGTCGAGACTTTATGCAAATTGCTCGAGTTAGGCTGAAGCCGTCAATATATTCAGGCAGCTATCATTCTTGACACAATTCCGAGTTTTATATTTTGTCCGAGAATAACTAAATGAAATGCCTATTGAAATGATACATATATGCATACATTTATATGTATGCATATCTATGTATGTGTCTCTATTCTTTTCGATGTTGATCTTCAGTTCAATCAATTTATACAAGAATATGTTTTAGAACGGCTTTGTCTAGTTTTAGACTCTGGATACTGCCGTATAGCATCCATTCTTGACACAATTTTCGGTGCCTTTTTGTTGTTGTTGCTGTTTCATACTTTCCTTTCTGCAGTGCTTCGCATTGAATATTTGCTTAAGTTTGTGACGCAGAATTTGAGTTAATATACAAATTATTTGGCAAAAGGTTAAACAACTCTATGAAGGCTGCGTGTTGCTAATTTTGGTTTAATTTATAATTTTCTGCTTTGCTAGCATCTCTTTAATTAGTTAAGAAAAAATCAATATTTAAATGTTTTCAATATTTCCAAAACAAGTTCCGACCGACTAAATCGAAACTGTAATTAAGATACCACTCTATCCCCTTCTCTTTCTCCACCTCCATCTCCATCTCCTTCGAGTGACTATTGCATAAGGAAAAATGCGGAAGAAAAACCGTCGATAAACCCGTTTTGACCAGTGAAAAGTGATTTTGCAATTTTTCTATAAGCTACTGGAATATTCAATCATTTTTTTTATTTGGAATTATAACTTAGGACAGCTTACGACACGCTGAACAAGTTGTATAACAGTATAACAGTAGATATATATATTTTGTTTATAACAATCACACATACATATACATATACATACAAGAAAACTAAAATTACATTTATTGCTACCTGTATAGGGTCTACGTATATTTATAGTATTGGATATTTGATAGATTATGGGTTATGTGTAAAGGTATTATGATTATTATGTCAGTCATTTACAATTTATGCAAATTTCTCGAAAAGAAAAGAAAAAAAAAAAAACAAATGCACGTAATTGAAACCGAATACTCGAAAATGATTAAGTATATATACATACATATATACTTTTATATCTATATGTGTATATAATGTTAACAACGTGCACAAAATATTAACACAAATTTTTGTTTTTCTTCACTTATTTCTTTTGGAGTGTGTTTCAAATGAATTGGCAGAAAATTTTGCAATTGTTTACATACAGACGCAAATGAAATCGAAACAAAAAATTATAATTTATAGTCTAATTGGAGAAATTTCAGTCAAATAAGAGACAATTGTCTATAGATATTGCTGTTGCTGCTGCTGTTGCTGTTGTTGTTGTTGTTGTAGCAACTGCTGCTGACGCTGATGATAGCGTAGACGCCTGCGCGCCCAGTGCTCATAGTTATTTTCGAGATTCTCATAGTAGATATCCTCCTCCCCGAACTGGCCGCCCTCATCCCAGTCATCCTGATTGGGTTGCCAACCAAAGATATGCGCACTGGTCGTTAGCTTCAGCAGCACCACCTCCATGGTGCAGGCCATGAAGAGGAAGGCGAAGACAGCGAAACTGATCGGTGTACAGAGCAATTTCTCCACTTGGCAGATTACACCGGACGTAAACAACATGCTGGCTAACGGGCTGGCCGTGTCTGTATAACGTAACTCCGATACTCGCTTCACGTCTGCTTGCTGTTGTTGTTGTTGTTGTTGTGGTCGATGTTGATTTCCTTTAGCTTCTATTTAATTTGCTATTGAACTCTGGTATTGTTTTTTCAGTTTGCTTAATTTGGCACTGTGCTGCATGGCCGTAAATTGTTTTGTATTTGATTTAACTATTTTTTCGAATTCGAATTAACTGCGAATTTTGTTTTATCTATTTATTTATTTTTTTTTTTTGATTCGTGGCGCGCTCCGACAACAACTTTCTCGCACAAGCTGTGGTTTTATTATGCGCAGTTCGCTTTGAGCGCGCTAGTCTAGCCAACAGCTGAGCGCGCGACGACAGCGACGTCGACGCACACAGCTCATGCCGGTTTTTGCATAGAAAGCAAGAGAGGGACAGAGAGTGCGAGAGAGACAGTGGGAGAGTGGCGCACGCGGCAACAGCGCGAGAGCGCGCTACCGTGTGGATCATTGAGAGAGTGAGAGTGAAGCAAACACAAACAAACATAAATGCTAAACATATGCGGATAGACGGGCATAGACAAGCGCGTTGATGACGCAAGAGCTTTTAAGCGCAGTTCTTGTTGTTGCAGTTATCTTTTTTTTTCTATGAATTTACAGTAATTTACGCGTTTTGCCAGAAGCCTCAGCATAGCAGAATAACCAGAAATCTTACAGCTGTTGGCAAGTAGAAAGTTTGACAGTTCTGGACAGTGTTGGACAGCTGATGCTGCAAGCTAATTCGAGCTCAAGCTCTGACTGGAATATGTATTCGCTTTCAGTGTTGATTGATAGTCCGTCTGGCGTTTGATTTTCCTAATGTCTGACTTCATTATTCATTGCGAAATTTCAAACTATTGTAGAAGATTGTCGAAAATTCCGCAAACTAGTTTTGATTTTAATAAAAATGTTGTTATTGATATTAGTTTTGCATGTGATTTTTTTTACTAGTTTTTTTTTATTTATTTTTTTTTAATAAATTGTAGCTCTTGGAATTTATTAATTTATTAGTCTGTCTAATGATGGCTGATTAATAAATGGCGCCCGAAATGAAACGGGTTTTTGAATAAAGATAAAGATCAAAATAAAAATTTAAATAATATGAAGAATTCTATAAATAACTTATATGAACAACTATAATTTTTTTTCCAATGAGACTTTATTGTGTAGAACTTTTTATGCTTGTTTTGCTACTTGACTTTCAATCTCAATGCCAGTGTCAATGCCTCAGTTGCTAATTTGTTGTAGCGAAAAAAAAAGTAACAACAATTTACAGATATACATTGTAATTTTTTGTTTTTTTGTTGCTGTGCTAACATTAATTGCAAATATGTTACTAAGCAATTTGCGCACATATAAATCGGTTTTTTATTCTATAAGAAATTCCACACCAATTAGCGAACGCCGAAAAGTATGCAACGAATCATTTTGAGGGATCTTTTCTGATATGCAACACTTAATTGGAATTCTGACTGGTTCGACAACACTTGTCACACTTTTCTTTAATATTCGTAGTTAATTTTTGTGCATTTCTTAAAGTTGCCTTGACTGCTTTTTAGCCACTTTCGTAAACATAAAAATTCTGTCACATTTGTAACACTTTTTTCTCGGCTTTTGTTTTTGCTTCTTTTCACTTGCTATGCGACTTGAGTCTTAATTGAACCCGTTTGGATTCTCATTTTTTCAGACACATTTAAAGAACTTAACTGCAGTCAAAGCAGGTTAGACAAATTTCTAAGAAGTGAAAATAACTTAAATAACTTGAAATAATATTTTTGATTAGATTAAAGTGAGCAGGTGTATTTAACATAATGAATGTCAGCGTGTAGCATAATGGGCTGCATATAAATTCATAAATTTGCATACATTTAAATCTTTCTTTATTCTGGTTTTTAAACTCTTTTCAAGTCGAATTATAGCTTGTATTCACAAAAGGGTTTCTAGCTTGTTTCTCGTAACCTATAAAATCGATTATTCACTGATTTATAGCTTTAATGAGAAAAGCTCATTACAAAACCTTTTATATAAGAAATATCAAAAGTTTTTACTGCATTCTTCCTTAACTGAATAAGAAACAATTAATTGGAAACTTTAAGCTGATTTAAAAGGATTTCAAATCATGGTAAATATTTTTAATTGTGAATGCTTAGCTTTAAAATAGCTTTCTTGTTATTTAAGTTTCCATGTCCAAGGTAAAGCGCATTTAACATTTCAATTATTTATTATGTAACACTCCTGTTGCCAAAGCATCCCCAACAAATTTTAACCCAAAGCGCATAGTTTCATTATCTCCAACTCTTTTTCTGTCAGTGTAGCGCACTTATGCATTAAAATACTTTTAGCCAAGTAACGTTGACAGGCGTTAATTATAATTATAATGCCGCATAAACTGACTGACTGACTGACTGACTTTCCATTTATGCATGAAGCGTCTCTCGTTTATTTTTTCCCATTTTTTTTTCCATTTTTCAACTAAGAAAGCGAACATTGCAAAGTGTATAAAAGCCAGCTGATGATTGTTTAAACAATTGCAACTTTACGAATACATTACTAACACACAATAAACAAATGCTTCATTAGCTTGAATAGACCAAGGAATTATATTATTCTTTGATAATTGCTATTGTACTTGAGAGGGAGAGAGGGAGGGAGAGACGGTTATATGGGGACCGTTAGCCCATGAAGTGCGTTCTTAACGATTTCCGCTATACCAAATATGTGTCACATTGTTATGAAATATTTGCTAACGGTAAACGATAATCGATAGACAATCGAAATTGGCAACAGCTGCGAAACCAATTGTTGTTGACCAATTAAAGTTATTGGTGAATTAAGTTATTACACAAGCGGCTTGATTTGTGACTCGACCAAGGAAATCAAAATTGAGCTCAGCTACCAAATAAGGCAAAGCAAACAGTCACAAGAAAAATGAAGAAAAGATTGATTATTCAGATGATACCCTGCACTTTACAAAGAGCTGGTCGTATGCGCTTATACATAGATATGCACTTTGAGAGATCAAAATTCTATATTTAAGGTAACTGAAGTAATCGATATTAATCGATATGTCCTTTAGAAGCAAGGCAAGGATCAATTTCTTTTAATATATTAGTATGAAACAAATATGATTACCTTCTTTAGGCAAACAGGCTGAAAACCCTTTCCCTCGTCAAAAAAGCTAGTATACCCATTATCTATGCTCAATTGAACAACAGTAATGCCAATTTTGATGAATATATTGCTTAATCATAACCACAACTTTTTTTTCTTATATCCCTCTTTTGTCGCGCTTACAGGGTATACCAAACGAAACTCTAGTGGACATCAATTATGCCAAATCAGTTTTTATGTGCAATTTTTTAAATGCTCCCAAGATAGTTTTACCCATATTTTGTGCAGTTGCTTTATTTTTCCCATGTCTTTTTGGCCAACACGCGAACGTAATCAACACGTAACTGAAAACGAAAATCAAGCTGAAAAGTTAACTTAAAAAGCAACTAGCCATGTAGCCATGTAGTTTTAGCTAACTGAATATGCGATTCGCTGCACGTGCAGCAATTGGACTTGGAGCAGGTGCAACGCGTTGGTGGTCCACCAACTCAACTCAACTCAACTCGATTCGACTCACCTGAGCAAATGCTTAGCGCCACATTGCAGCAGATAGGCGCCACCGATTAGGCCAACGACACTGGTCAGACCCAGGAATAAATTGTTGTTGCCCCGATGCATGGGCAGCTCCATTAGGCAGTTGAAGGGCCGCAACAGACGCTTGCAACACTGTGGAAATTTCTCATTTGTCATTTGTCAGTTGAAGCAATGCAACAACTCGCAGCACAAAGCACACACAGCACAGCAGCTCTATTCTATTCGCTAACTGAAAACAAACTCAATCTGAACTACAAAATTTTTACTATACGACGGGGATTATCAGTCTATGCGGAAAATAGAAAAAAATACCTAACTATCGCCGTCTTTGACATTGTGGCTTGAACATATCTTATCATGCAGATAATATAACATGTCGTACATGTATATATTTGTATATATTTGTATGTACGTATTTATTTACGCATGTAAGTTAGCTCATAGTTAAATAAATGATTTCAGTGTAATGCCCTAAGTGTAGTATTTCAGTTCAAAGTTTCAATTTGTGAACAAGAATTTTTAATTTATGATTTAAAGAGTTCTGCTTTCAAAATGGACTACCTCAAAACTTGTTAAGTTCTAACTAACAGCATAGAAATAAAAACAAAACTGTCGATTTATGATTGAATGACACTCGCTTAAAGAAGGTGGAAGAGGTGGCAAGTATGTGAAAATCAAGTATGGACAAGGTTTCAGCATTGCATTTTATGCCTAATTGACACTTGCTTAAGTTGATAGCTCTATCTAAAATAATAATGACACTTGCTTAAACTATAAATTGTTATGCCTAAATGACACTGGTTTATATTATTATATTATATATAGACGTCAAATATCAAACAGCTTTTAGTAATAGTCTTAAAAATCAGCAAAAAAAAAAAAACAGATTTTTAGAAGTAAGTCAAATTGAACTTGGAATTTGCATTTATTTTTAATATTCTTTACACTTAGCAGCTGCAAAAGGCAGAAAAACATTTTGTTTTTCGCACTTAATTAAAATGAATACATTCGAATGGGAAACTTTGTTATGGTAAAGGCATAACTCTACACTCTATACTTTGAGTCTAGCTAACCATAATTATTGATATAAAGAACATATCACAATTTAAATTTAGCGCGTTTTTTTATATGAAAATAAATATTTTAAATTATTTTCATTAGAGTCAACGCGCAATTTAAAAAAGTCTTTTTTTTTTTTTTCTACAATGTACTAAATATTTTAAAATATAGAAAAAATATATTTATGCATATTTTATGAGCAAGAATACATTTAAAATAAAATTTTAATTTAACTACTATAATAAAATATATGCACAGTTCGTTTATTTAAATTAAATTTCTCACATTTTGCTAGACGAAATAAATTTGATTTAAATAAAATTAGTATTAATATCCTTGCTGATTGATAAATTCGTTCAATTTCTATATTGATTAACATTAAAAGCCATCGAAAAGTTCATAAAGCAATGAACTTTTGGCTGGCTTTTAGCATTAATCAATATACAAATTGAACGAATTTATCAAAAAGAAAATATATATTAATGCTGTCTGTATTAAGCATTAATCAAATTGATACGCATGATTTATTTGAAGCCAGTGTCATTTAGGCAATTAAGCAAAACACATTGTTATTTTAAGCTGATGTC